GTAAAATTGATTGTGAACGAAACCTTTCAAGTGCCGACGATTGTCAAAAAGTTGTCTCGTTTGTGGAAGGACTTCGAGAGTCATCTCCTGCATAAATGCAAGCAAGCAAATAGATGAAACTTAACGATTTTATCGTTCAACTTCGACTTCAGATATAAGAAGATAAACGAAAACCTGAAGTATTGGTCAAATGGAGCAAGATAGCACAAAGGCAAATAGTAAGAAGCGTAAAATTGCATCTAAGGCAAACCAAACTGAAAAGCCAAGAAATATAAAGAAGGTTGCTATGATGGTGACAAATCCGAGTACTTTGAAACACAACCAACTTCTGAAGAGGGATAGGAGGATCGTGCGAAATGTGCTAAACGTCATGGACAAGATCAGACTTGTGAGAGCTCGATCTTTCCTTCACAGTCCAAGTATTTCGTTGATTAGAAATCCCACACTACTTGATTGTGAAGATGCCGCATTCAGCAGTCAGCGCTTTTGTTGAATTCTTTTTAATAAGTTGTATGAGATAAATAATGCGTTTCATTTAGGAAATTATAACAATATTGTTACCATAAAAAAACAGAAAACCATCAATCAACTCATCATCAAAATACTGTTCTGCAACTCCAGTTCAACCAAAGAGGATTACGGATGTAACATAAATAACAAGATTTTGGAAATAATGCTCCTAAGCCCGCAAATAAAAACATCAATTAACTTAACTCATCGACCAGAAATTAAATCAAGAGGTTCGGTACAGGATTTGATTACCGCGATAAATGTCCAAAAGTTCGGGAGCATCCTTCTTATACTTCTCGACATAATTCTTCAAGAAAGCCTTCTCAGACACTATGAGCAAGGACGTGACAGCCGCATTCTTCAGCCCCTTCTCACTCAAAACTGTAGCAACCGCCCACCTCGGCTTCATTCTCTTTTCGACGCTGTACCGAAGAAGCAAAGGGCACCGAGCCACGTCACCTGGCGAACACCCTAATTTATCGACAAGAAAAGTCATACTCTTCAATATATTCTTCTCGGACAAGGCCATACAAAGCGGCTGACTGAGAAAGGCGGTCCTGATGTCGGATTCCCGACCAGCCGCACTTTCTATAAACCTCCATCTTTCGCTTGAGGATGGACTCCTCAAAACCCAAAACCCGAATGGCCATCAAAAATGTATTACTGGTCACGTCAAACCCCATTTCTATTGCTCGATCCACGCACGAGGATAACTTCTCCTGAGGAACCATGAGCATTGTTGGCTGGTACGTGACCAGTGACACGAGAGATGTTCGAGGGACACCGCAGTCCACAAGAAACAAGATGTTGGACGAGAGGTCGTCCACCCGGCCCCAGAGGAAGAACTGGGGAGCCCGTTTAAACACTTGAATAGCCCCCTCATCCGACCCGAACAGGTTTTTCAGGAAATCGTATAAGGGGATGATTGACTTCTCAAGGCTGCGCCATAAGAGCAAAGGGGTCCGGGACAGCCTGTTGGCCAAGATGGGGAGGGGGACGCCAATGGAGGCGAAAAATTCGAGCTTGGGCAAAAGGGTTTGGTCTGGGCAGGCAGAGAGAACGTTCGGAAACCGGGTGACCATTACAGAGATGTCGGCGGCCGTGAATCCGTACTCTCTGAGGAGATTCAAGACCGCATCTGGTTTTTCAGGCGATTTCAGCTGGAGTTTACTGGAGGCGCGGACGGCGGCGTCTGGGGCCAACCCGCATGAGCTGACGAGGTAGGAGAAGGCGAAGGATTTCTCAGAGTCATTCTCGCGAACACCTTGCGGTGGTCTCCCGGTGGTGAACGGCCTGAAAAAGACTGCATCTTCAGAAGTCCGAAATTGAGGGGTGGCGAAAATAGAAACCTCCGGTGGGAGCCTGAGTCGTCTCCCTCGGACAATCGCGAACATCGATTAGAAATCCGATTTTGAACTCGGCGGACTTGGTGAGCTGACGATCAGACGAGGGTTTGAAGATGTCAGTATATGCAGTCTTTTTCGGCGATTTAGGGAAGGGGCATCGCGTTTTTTGAAATTTCTGAGGAAATGAATGTCGCGTTGGACAATGAGCACTTTTTTGTGTTCAATTTTACCTTAATAATT